AACCTTAAAAAGTATTTTATGTTTTAGGTGTGTAGAATTTGTTTGTTTGTTTGTTTTTAATTTAGATTTAATTAGCTGCAATATAAAACAGTACTTCATCATGAAGTGAAAATTTGTTTGGCAAGGAAATAAAAAAGCATAATTTCTGAAATTTACTGGTATATCATGCCAAATTGAAACAACCTATCAACCTGAAATTTTATTTGTAGTCATTGAATTATTCATCCAAAATAATCTGTTTCACTTTTTGAAGAACATATTAAAAATTTACCATACAGAACTACTGCATGCAGAATTTTGACATGCAGTATGTTATTTTCAGTATCTACAACAAAGAATGATGTATCCTTCATATCTTTTACTTCATCTAAGATTCCATTGCTACTTAAAAAGGAAATGAACAAATAAAAAAGGGTGACCAAAATAGACTTACTTCTGCTGTTAGACAGCAAGGGTTTTTTGCATGTATGTTATAGATAGACAGATATGAATGATAATGAAAAAGAATGTCTTGTGACAAAAAAAAAAAAAAAGAAATAGACTTTGAAATGGAACATTTAATTTCTTTTGAAAATTAGTTTCAAGATCCATAACATTTTTACATATACAAATGCATAAACCTCTATTTTCTATAGTCTTTTTATATAAACATTAAGGAACCTATCTGAAATGTAAGGCACTCTACTTAGCAATTAAATTTTGTTTAACAGTGTTCTGACTAGTATTCTTAGATTTCGAGATAACTGGTTTATATAATGGACTGTTAAAAGAGGACTTCTTTTACTTCTCAGAGATCTCTAGTATGATTTATAGAAAAGTATAAACAGACTATTTTGGAAGGACACCAATTATACTTATCTATCTGAATAACAATTTTTCTCAAAAGTGGTGACATGTTTCCCTGTACATTTTTAGGAGCCAGATTGCTGAAAAAGAGACTCTGGGCCAAATTAGGGTATAAGATAAGATAAGAAAGCAGAAAGCTTTAATGAGCCACTAGGCTCTGGGTCGCACCTCTTGTGTTCAGAGGGTTCCACAGTTTAAGGTGTTAACCCATCCAATCCCAGGTCTATCCACCCGCCGGTTCTGACCCGTTCCGCCCCCCAGCACACCCCTTCGGTAATTGAGTCTGGGGGAGTTTTGGGACCCCTTCTTCCTCATCTTCATCTTCTTCATCACATGCAGACCTTGGAGGCCTTCCAAGGTTCCGGGCCCAAAGGCCGTTGGGCCCATGTTTACATATTTTGGTGCAGGTGTTAAAATGCTTTCCTATAATTCTACATTAAAAGAAGACTGAACAGTTAACGGACTTAATGGAATTGTTACGGGAAAGGGTTTTTGGTATGTGCAACTGATAAACTACTTTTACTTCTACTGGAAATACTGATAAGAGACATAATACTGTGAGAAAGATTCTACAGCTACATTTAAAATCTACATTCACTACGTAACTACTTCTAAAGCCTATAAAAATTAAAAAATCAAAAACTCCATGGTAACAATTAAATCAGATATAATCTTCTGCCAAACAATATTTGTTTTTTGCATAGAAGCCCTCTTTGGCAAAAGACAGGATGAAATAATTTCTTACACATAGAAATATTCATACATTTTAGTATAAAATTGCTAAAATTCTAACTGGTCTATTTCATGTAACACTTGTCTGTTTTCCCTTCTCCTTCATGTTGCCCCATTTTGTCATGGGACCATAATTCAACAACAGACATTATGTCTAAGATGCTCGGCTAAGCAGCCTCCTGCCTCTCTAAATTTTCTCCTGATATTTCTTCTCTTACCAATATGGCAGAAAGGGATGTACAGCTAACTAAGGGATGTACATGGCTAACTAAACTGAAAAATATCAAAGGAAAAGTCCCTTTCTAAAATATTTTTCCTTCCTATTTAAGCCATCTAATTGGAGAAGCTCATGGGACAATTGCTTTGGAAACAGGCTGCTTTATTAGCACCCTGTCTATTCAGCACTCTCTTTCGCTATAGCATATGTTTTGAGGGGTAGTGACTGAAAGCCCTGATACCTTTATAAGGGTTTCTCCTGTTGAATGCAAGTGTTGGTTGACAGAAGCAACTTCAGTTTTTAGTGCAACCAGGAGTGACCTCATTTTAGTAGCATGGAGGTCAGTGTGGACACTCTCCAGAAACTGAGTACATTACCATTCAAACTCATATGGAGTTCCATGTCACAGCTCAAATTGCTACCTGTTACTAATAGTAATTTAAATACTAATAATATTTTAAATACCAGTGTTTTGTGTGGCAATCTCATTGTAGACGTACATTATACCTTGATGCTACAACACTGTTATTGCTCTCCAGGTGAATCCTTAGAACATGACTGGTGAAGCAATGTAAATGTGACTGGCAGCTTGCTTAGTGCTGTGTCTGCTGTATGGAGATAGAGAGTAGTATTCTGGTCACTCCTGCCAGATATGATATACAGATTTCTACTGCAACTGACTGTCAGGCATGACTTTATTGAGCAAAATTCATTTTAAGATTTTTGCACTGAAAACAATCTGTTCATACCACAGTCTTGCACAAATATTTCTTATCTGATATGAGTATGATTACTGAAATATCAGGTTCACTCATGGTTTAAATGGAAACTAGTGCTGCTTAAAACCCAAGCACATATATTTATCAACTGAGATATGTACTATTCCTAGACTGTTGACATGTATAGTGAGTGTTTTAATGAAATGAGTTTGTACAATGTGGAGGCAATGCTAGCATGGTACTGTTTAATCAATTAGCAAAGACAACAAAAATATCCCCTTTCTGTAGGTGCTGGATCCAATTGCTCCAAATGCTGCTGTTGAAGCAGATGATGGATATTTAATATTAAATAGATGCTCTGGTTTGTATGCTGAAATATTACCTCCTTACTTAAACAACATGCTATAGAATTGATATATCGCATTACTTTGTCATATTGTGTCAAGTTGAATTGACTTACAATGTAAGTCAATGCAACGTGATGTGACATCCTGTAAGTCAATGCAACATGATGTGACATCCTGTACTTTGCCGTAATTTGCCATTATTTGATGTAATATAATTTAGCAGGTCAGAAACGTAAAGCAAACAAAACTTTGTCCATGATGAAATTCATTTAGGTAAATGTGAAAAGCATTTTGCCAGAAAACAAAATAGAAACATATTTCACATGATGGGTATTTCCCTAGAAATATTCCCTATAAACAGAGTATAATTGTTTAAGCAAAAGAAATCTTGGAGCTGATGAATAATTAGTTTTACTGAAAGTAGGTCTAAGTAATTCCTTGAACAGATGCCATTTTCCTCAAAAACCAGCAGAATACAGCACACTAACCTAGGATCTGGTTTTATAGTAATATTTTAGCACAGTGAATGACAATTTCACTTCCTAAGTCATCAGCATAGGTATGTTATGTTTATATGTTTATATGATAAAGCTGAAGCAGAAGAACTATTTTAACATGTAGGAGTTGATGGACTCACAGCTTCATATCTGATCACTGAGTCATGAGATTTATGTATAACATGAAATCCATGTCAGCCAGAACTGACAGTGTTAGGCAGGTGTCACCCGTAGTATCAAAGAGTGATTGACAGAAAATTTAGTACTTGATTAGCAACTTAATTATTTTGTTTACTCAAGGCAACCCCTTCTTATCACTTTCAGGCACTCACCAGGGCATAAAGCTCTGGGGCTACAGAGAAAGAAGACCAAGGTGAATAAGACGAAAAAAAAGACAGTTATTCCATCTGTCATACAACAATTTATATTTCTAGGCTGTCCATATAAATGGAGAAAAACAAGGTCTGAAATAAAGCAGAAGAAAATCTTACATGTTATTTCAAGTGATCTTTGAAAAAATTACTTTACTAAGCTGTAGCTATATGAAATAATCTACAATTGAAATTCATGCTGAGCTTTGAGATGCAGCAATCTTCTAGTCTTGCTACAATACAAATCAAGAGTAATATATGAAAAAAATAATAAATATTATCAATCCATGGCAAGGTTGTGCTTTTAAAGCTGTATTGTAAAAGTTTATTTTTTATTTAAGGTGTAAAAATGAAAAATCCAACTTTATTTTATAAACATTTTATATAATACATTGTTAAAAAGTGCTGAGAGTCTTGATACCCACTGCTTTAGATATATATCACCTTATTTTATAGGCGAGAGTTTCTGGAAGAGGCAAAATATTTCTGATTTTTTTAAATTATTTTTAAAAATCAGATATATTTTGATTCTTCTACCCATTCTGTTAGGTAGTTTCTGATAATTCAGCGATTTAAGAAAAAAGGTAGAGTAAACAAAATTTTTGATCTTTTTCTTTGTCATCCCACAGACTTATTTGGGATGAGCTAAAGTGACACTGGCCAAGAACCAGCTATGATTTTTAAGAATGTCTGTATCTAGGAAACTAATAATTGTGAAACTTCATAATTGTCCTTATATCTTGTAGAAAACTGAATCAGTCACATGGTGCCTCACAACAAGACTTTCTAATTAATGATATGAGGGAGTATGTGAAGGAAATGGGTACCTTGCTTAACTGCTATATTTTCTTCCAGACCTTTCTGAAGAACTGATGACCCAATCATTTTAGTTCATGTATCCTTCCTACGTAATTTAATTTACAATCTTGTGAGTCTATACAATAAAACTATTTGACCATGTGTAGAGTTTTGTAAGAGTATATACACAAAGAAACAGTTTTGCAGAACTACAGGTTGGTAACTAACAGACAGAATGGTAAGGATCTCTACAGATCATCTGGTCCAACTCACATGCTCAAAGCATGGCCAGCTAGAGCAGGTTACACAGGGCTGTGTCCAATTGGGTTTTGGTCATCTCCAGATATGGGGATGCCACAAAATGGGTGGCAAATATTCTCCTGTGTTTGATCACCCTCACAGTGAAAAAGATCTTTTTTATGCTTGACAGGAATTTCCTGTATTTCAGCTTGTGTTTATTGTCTCTTATCCAGTCACTAAATAACACTAAGAAGAGTCTGGCTCTGCCTTCTTTACACCTCCCCTGAACATGGATAATAAGTCTCTTCTCCAGGATGAACAGACCCATACCTCAGCCTCTCTTCATATCAAAGATTCTTCAAGGCCTTGGTTATCTTAGTTATCCTTGTGGACTGCTGCTGGACTCGCTCTGGTAAGTCTCTCTCTGCCTTGGACTGGAGAATCTAGAAGTGAATGGTCCAGGTGTGTCTCATCAGAGCTGTGGAGGGGCAAAGGGTAACTTAACCTGATGACAGCACTCTGCTTAATGCATTCCAGGGTGCACTTGGACTTCTTTGCTGCAAGGGCACATTGGTATTTCATGGTCAACTTGTTCACCAGGACCTTCTCTGCAGAGCTGATTCTTAGTCAGTTGTCCACCTCTGTATTGGTTTCTGATGTTGTTCTTTGCTAGTCACAGGAGCTGGTATTTCCCTTTGTGGAACTTCATGAGCTTCTGGCCTACACATTTCTCCAGCCTGTTGATGTCCCTCTTTAAGGTAGTGCACCCATCTCATGCATTCTTGACACTCTGCACAGTTTTTTATAGTCATCCATATCATCAATGAAGAGTAAAAAAGGTTTGTCTCTATTATTCACCTGTAATGGCTGAGGGCATCTCTAAGCAGTAAAGCCAAAAGTGAACAAGGCATAGCATACTTCAGCCCTTTCCACGTTCTTTGTAAATCAATTCTTCTCCTCTGACCTGTAATGGGCTTTTATTTTCCCTCATCTTCCTTTTGCTGATGACATATAGAGGAGTTCTTCCTCTTTCTCTGCATGTACCTCACCAGATTCGGAAGTCCAGGTGGACTTGGTCTTTCCTAACACCATCTCTTGCATGTTCCAACATGCAATGTCTTTGTATTCCTTCTGGTGACCTGGCCCTGTTTTCATTTCTTGTATGCTTTCCATTTATTTTTAAATTTTCTTAGGATCTCCTTGCTCACCTGTAAAGGCCTTCTGTCAGCTTTTCTTGACTCTCATTTTTAGCACAATACACTTCTGGCATCTGGAGGACCTGATTTTTGAGAATCACTGGCTATGTGATTTAGATTCATTCTGTGTGTTAGCTGCTAGATAATAGATAGCTTTCTGAATTTTTTTTTTCCCAAACAATGATAGTTCTCCTTGACCTAGAATATTCTTCGAATATTATTAAACACCATCATTAAGTAGGGAAGAGGACTATTTGAAAGGATGTTGACTTTCTTGCAAGAGATGAAAAATTATAATTGCCTCACATCACATGCAGAATGGAGACTTTTTTAGCTAAAAAAAGAGCTTTCTATAAAAGCTTCCTTTGTCCATGTTAGGCATTTCCTAAAAATAATATCTTATTCTGGTAAATACCAGAAAAATTATGTGCAACAGAATCAGCAGTGTACAAGGTCCTCAATACATTTTCTGACAATAGAAAATATAATTGATCAATTTTAAGAGTGTGAAGTTACCTTTTTCTAGAAGTATCTTGATATTTAATACTCTATTTAAGAGGAAGAAAGAGACAAAACAAAATATACCATGTTGCAACACAGATCATTTTATTGTCTTATCACTTATTTACTTGCTCTGATATGTATTTGCAGAACAGACTCTGTGTAGTGTATACTATAAATATAGAATTGTCAGTCTTTATTGCCTCTTCCCTTATTATGCAACAAAATAATATATACATAGCCTAATACATCAATATCTCATCTTCTTTTTAGTTACTTTTATCTGTAGTCCTACCAAAATGTCCAGTGTTTTCATAACAAGTATGAAAACAGGTACTAAATTAGGTGCCAGTGCAGAAAGAACCACTGTGGAGTTTGTCAGAGTTCTGTTCTTTAATGCCCATCTAACTTGTGGCTAGGTGCTCAGACACAGACAGCCTTATTGAGTTATTTAGGCACCCTGGGCCAGAGAAGAGCCAGAATCTTCTTGGTGGTAATGTGCATATGTACAGAGAGATTTTTTGTCAGACAAACAGTCCCCAAATTGCAAGGGTCATGTCAATGAGTGTCTATCTTCATACTGGCAACTCACAAAGCCTACAGTTGGAGTTTTATGTGTGGATTACTGTACCTTTAGCAATTAGTTCTCAGGGAGTTCACATTCTAATCAGATTCCAATATTCATGGTCTCATTAAAAAGCAAATTTCCAAGTTATTTGTTTAAATTAATTAATATATTTATGTATCATCTCATAATGAGGGTGAAAAATTCTCACACTTAAAAAAGACCCTAGGCTTTTTTTTTTCCTTCGCATGATAAAATATTTTTATGTACATTTGAACTTGTACCGAAGGAAAAAAAGTTTCCATTTAAAATTATATCCAGAGCAGCTATTGTACTCTGCTAGAAATGTACCAGATAAGTACATTTTCTCAGTCTTATTGTACTGGTATGCTGCTAATGTGTGTATATATATATATATATATATATATATATATATAAGAGGACCTTTTCTTCTCAGAATGACTTCTATCAATTTAGATATAGCTCAAGAATCTTCAAAATTTAAACTCCTATCACCTCCTGGTTTCACAAAATGTTTTTTTTGCTATCATTACTGAGCTTTTTGAGAAAAATGAGATTTCGATATTAATACTATGCCTAAATCAATGTTATTTGCACAACATTTGTCCTAGTTGCTTCAATAACATGAATTTCATTATTTTAAGCAATTCTTGAGATTTTAAGGGACAGTATGTCAGTAAGCCTATTATTATTGGCGATGGATAACTGGAGACTTTTTCAGAGCTTGTAAGTGTTAACATGATTCATAAATTCAGTTTTCGTTAATTAACTGCATGTTATGGTATGAGAAAGAGTTGACCCTGAATCAAGACCTGATCAAGGAAGAAGAAAAATTATAGCATTCTTTCAGCCTATAATAATTCTACCAGTATTATACAGATCTATTGCATTCTTATGCTTCAGTTAAGTTTAAAGACAAGTCTCTAAAATTGAATTGTACATAAGGTCTGTGTTTCTACTTAGCAGAATCTCAATGATAGTAGTACTTAGGTTTTGAACCATTTTGAATTATTTCTGCTCATTTGATATCTGAAAATATAAATACTTAATCAGAAAAAGCAAAAATAGCATGTAATTAATTGTTCTGTGATGCTAACAGATGGTTTGACTGCCTAGCTAGCTCATTCAGTTTGTTTTACATGTGCTTTTTGGTTAAAAGGATGTAGCCAAGTATCAGACAGGAAGGTTCCCTGATCGTGGTACTATCATGGATTCAACTTCAAACAGGAGGAATTTTTCATAGAGGGGAAAGTTCTCCTTCTTTGAGAATTGACAACACTTAACTCCAAAGAACTTCTGGAGCGTAATGTGAGACAGACAGATCTGAAAAAGCCAAGAAGAAAAGAGCCTGCAAAATGGAAATAGCTGGGAAATTCCTGAGAAGAGCAGAGTAATTTTTCAGCTAGTAAGTCACAGACACAATAAAGTTTATTTGGGACTCTCAAGAAGGACATGAAAACTTTCTTCCCTATCAAAGAAAATTGCTGGAATGGAAAGAAAGAATTAAGAGGAGGACATTTCCTCCTCCAAACTACTGGAGAGGGTAGATTTGTTTCTCAGATATTTTATTTAATTTATTTTCTTCAATCTTTTTGTTCTGTGCTTTGATGAAACCTCATTGCAGCATTCACAAACCTTGTATTGTCTGTTGTCAATCTTGTATGAAGAAAAAAGAGGTGGTAGCTTGAATACACTCATCATAAGCTTGTGGCTGACTCATAATCCCATCACAAATGTATGCAAAGTTATAATTTATAGACTATTTGTTCAGTGCTTCTCAGCAAAGATGAAACCACAAATGCTTGTTTAAATGAAATTTTAAACAGTGCATTAAGAAGAAACATTCTCCTGTCCTGTAAAGCTATCTGAAAAATGGAGTAATGGCCCTCTTCTACACTTGAATAAAATACAGATCTTGGTTATGGTAAGAGGACTACTTCAATTGTCCTTCAGTTGATGTATTTTTAATCCAAACCATACAAAGAATTGGAGACTTTTGTTCAAACCCTCTTTAATTAGGAAATTCCTGATAGTGTTTCCGGGGTTCACAGAGTACTATGAATATTCGCTTTGAAAGTAAAGTGTCTCTGGGTCAAAGCGAATAAAAGTCCCATGTTTGCTATAAATTTAGTCTCCCTCCAAAAACTAGTAGAAGCAACAGGGATCAAAATGAGTGTTTTAAGATGATTTTGTGCTGTTAGATAAATTTTAAAAGGTAACATAAATGGATAAGGGAATGGTAAAATGATTTTGTGGCAAGTGTGTGCACATGCTTCAACAAACAGCAGTGACAAAACCTTTGGCACTGAAAGAAGATGAGAGTATTTCAGGGCCAAAATGGTACCAAATAAGTATTTTTCTTCTTTTTTTCCCCTCAAAAGAGTAATATTTTCCTTTATTTCTCCTAAACTAAAACTACCAGAAGAAATGTGTGTTTATATGGGACATATATGATCCATTATAGGAGTCAAAAGGGCTAATAATGCTCTTATTCCTTTTTGCATGATTGATTTTGATATCTCCTTTAATATATTGATTTTTAATACTTAATGCACAAGTTCTCAATGCAGAGAAATAGCTATTTAGAGAAGATGATTCAGCCCATGGAATATGGATGTAGAATTTCAGAAACTTAAATGTCAGACGGAAAATATAGCAAAACTCCCCTCAAAATTAGCAGAGTCAAGATTCAGTGAAGATAAATTGTTTTAAAGACTCAGTATGACCAATACAGTAAGTTGTTTGGTATAACTTTGTAACCACTACTAGTATATGAGATAAAGTTTCAATCTGCAGAACTACTTTAATTTCAAAATATTTTGCTGTTAAGGTAGGAATCAATTTTTATAGGTAATCTTTAAAGTGATAATTTCAATGAAGAAATGTTGCTCAAAAAAATAAGGTGTAGTTTCCAGAATGAGCTATAGTTCTTACGTGTGGCTTATTAAAGTGTGATTTCTTGTCTGAAATTACTTCCTATTAAGATTAGATCCAAACACAGGAATAAATCCTGTAAAAAAGATTTTAAACAATTTGTGGTACACATGGATGGAGCTAGCAAATGCTTCTGATATACTTTGATGATCTTGAGAAATACCATTATGACTTCAGTTGAAGAAAGATGAATCA